TTGCAGCATCCATTGTATTGGGAAAGACCTCCCAACCCTTGCCCCTGGGGCTCATCCTGCAGACACCCAGCAGTCCCTAATTTAAGGAGACCATTCTGGATGGATGCAAATGCTTTATTCAAGTTTCACCTGTCTCCAAACCCCAATTAGTTACACAAGTTTTTTTATTATATGTGCTCTTCTTCATATTTATGGTATAGCAGATTAAAATGGTGGAGGAAAGGCAAAAGGATCCTAGTTGTGATTATTTTCTTTAACAAGATGGAAATAAAAGATGAGAAAATCTAACAGTATTTTAGCCAGGTACTATTAAGTGTCCCAGTTTTTAAGATTATAAATTCACAATAGTGAATACACTAGTGACTACTTTTAAATAAAACACTGAATAATTATGTGCTATAAAAATCATAGACTCGGGCGCCTGGGTGGCTCAGTTGGTTAAGCGACTGCCTTCGGCTCAGGTCATGATCCCAGGGTCTTGGGATTGAGTCCCACATCGGGCTCCCGGCTCAGCGGGGAGCCTGCTTCTCCCTCTGACCCTCTCCTCTCTCATGCTGTTTCTCTCTCGCTCACTCTCTAATAAATAAATAAAATCTAAAAAAAAAAAAATCATAGGCTCACAATTTCAGCTTGGATTTGTTTCGCAGCTTATTTAATGCTGTCTAAAAATCAAGCAGGTAATGAAAACTACGTGTTTTGAACATGCATTATAGGAGGCAATGTAGTGAGACTCTAATAAGGCCAGTCACTTAGAAAAGTTAGTGCCTTTATGTGATATACTCAGGCTCCATAAAACGGTCATGGATGCAGGCTGTGCTGGAATTTAACTTCTGCAATGCTACTTTATAAATCTGACTGAAAGCTTTTTGGAGTCCAGATGCTAAGCCCTAACAAAAGCAAAATGGAACTATGGTCTACACAGTATTACTGTTATTACTATTCTATTAAGCACCACACATATATATGGTGTTTGGCACTCTCTCTTGAACTAGAGAACTTCTAGAATCACAGGATTTGAGAGCTAGGAAGAATTTAGAAGACACTGATATAACTCCTCACTTTCCACTTGAGAATAGTGATGGGGAACTAATCAAGGAAGTCAGCATTTATAAAGCACCCAGGCACAAGGGGCTGAGCACTTCTGGCTTCACTATTTTATTTCAGATGAAATAATTCCCCCAAAATCAGTTTTGTTAACGGGTAAAAGGGAAAATCCAACTTCAGAGTTAGTGCTCTTTCCTCAGGATAAGTATTCACAAAGTGTGGCCATGGGACCAGCACCAGGGGCATTCCTAGGAAACTTGTTAGAAATGCGAATTCCCAGGCCTCCCTCCAGACCTACTCACTGTGGGGAGCGGGGGCAGCAAGCCCTGCAGGTGATGCTGACACATGCAGTGAGAGCCACTGCTCCTTAGCAGTGGCTAAATTTAATTTGAAGAATATATATTATAATCTTATACTAAGCTACTACAAATGTATTGTTATACTTTATACCAGAATAATTAAGACAAGGATAGCCTTCAACAAAATTTTATTTTGATGTTACATGGTTAAACTGACACTGAATTTTTTCAAATGTGAAAGCTATTCCAAATAAGCAAATACTGGTAGTAAGATTCTAAAGAACTGTTTTCACCTTGTGTCAAAAGATTCTTGAAACAGAAATCTGTCTGCCTTTCAAGGACCCACCGAAATTAATAAATACTCTTGCCTGACTGACTGACTTTATTATTACTTGCTATAATTAAAACTAGGTATAGAAAAACCAAGTAGAGAAATACTGAAGGCTTAGTATGTAAGGATCTAAGCTAAAGTTAATAAAAGTAGCTCTGAAGAATGAAATTATATATAAAATTAAAACCTACTAAAAATTTCAAGAAGTGCCTTGTTAAAGTTTCAATTTTAAAAAGTTTCACTTTAAAAGTTCCAAGTTGGAAATTTTTCTTTTCCAACTTTGAAGTATCATGAAGGAACTGTCTTTATCAGAGTACTTCTCCACTGCAAATTCCCAACTCAAAAATAAATTCACATTCACCTTACCAAAAACTCAAAATGTTCTCAATTAGACATTTTTAGCATTTCAGCAAATATGCCTAACCAGAGTACTAATTACTTTCTATAAGTAATTTTTCCTTAAATATGTCAATGATTTCATTGTTTGACATTCTAGTAGTTAATGTATATTGCACATGAGAAATTTCATAGGAAAGCATTGTTTTAAATGCAATGACATGGAGCGCCTGGGTGGCACAATCGGTTGAGACTGACTTTTGGTGTCGGGTCCCGTTGTGATCGCAGGGTCTTCAGATCAAGCCCCCCCTCAGGCTCTGTGCTCAACATGGAGTCTGCCTCAGACTCTCCCTCTCCCTTTGCCCCTCCCCCTCTCCCACCTTGGGCTCTCTCTCAAATGAATAAATCTTTAAAAATAAATAAATGCAATGCCATTAAAATGATGCTTAGTTTTTAAAATACATAAACCAGAATTTTTCTAGATAACCAAAAATCAGAATGAAAACAAGGTGATCTACTAAGAGTTAAAGTTAATAAACATTTCAATCATCATGCAATCTTTATGCCGGATGGCAAAACAGAAATCTTCATGTTAATGTAACAGTAAATTCCCAACAGTCATTATTTGCTTCTAATTTGTAATGAACTCCTCTTCTACCCTGCTTATTAAAGGTTCTTAAGATTTAAAGGGAAATTTCCTGTGTCCATACAGTACATGAACCACAAAACAAAACTTTTGTAGAGATAGATGAGGCTGATACTATTTAAACAGGGAAACAGGGAGGGACAGTCTCAAAATTACAAGTCTATAAAAAAATATACCTCAGTATATCTAAAAGAAATTTTTGGTACACAACAGACATACTAAAACATAAACCTAACTTCAAACTCTGTAAATTGAAAATCTTCTGTTAGCCATGTCACCATTTAAAAAAAAAAAATCACACAATCTTAGCTACATAAATTAAATCTGCAGATGTCACAAATACTATTTATGTATTTCTGTGAATTCTTCCTAAAATATTATTTAGTAATAAAGAATATTTCAAAAGGAAAGGAGGGAGAAATGAAGCAGGATTATAACAACTAGAATTGCTTAAAATAAAAATAACATTTCATTTATTTGCTAATATGATTCTGGAGAAAATATCTTCTAATTAATTTCTACTTAATCCTTCTTTAAAGATATTTTGTTTCTTCAACCAGCATACTGAGGATTACTGCTACATACCTTACTATACTGACTTACGAAAACCCTTGGTTTCCAGAGAAGTCATACTTTGCAACCCCAAATTGGCTCTGCATGATTGACTGTAATAGGGATATTAACATTCTTCCTGAAACATGGCTGTATACCTTTGAGAACATTCACATTTAACTTTGTGAGCTCACTTCTACAGAAACAGTAAACTTTATTTATCAGCTACCAGGGAAAAATCAGTTTAATATAAGGAATTAATTAAGCCAGCCTCTGACAGAAGCCAATATATCAATTTCTTAAAAACTTAAAATTTATTTAAAGGACTAAGTATAGGTGCATTGCATATACCTAATGGCTTTTCTGAGCTCCAAAATGCATTCATCTAAGCACTTGTAAGTGCTTCATTTTTCAGTTTTGTTTCAGTAGAGGCTGATGTTCATCAAACATCAAGTCTGACAAAACAGCAAACTTCCTTCAATTAAGGTCATAATTTGAAATATTATTCAATAGTGGGATTTAAATTACATATAGGAAGAAAAGTAGAAGACTGAAAGACGGTATCAGAAATCACTATTTGGTCTTTAGATTCAGAAAAATAAGACTGTAGGCCAACACTGCTCTAACAGAGGAAGGACATGAGCAGTTACCGGAATGTAACCCTCCCAACATTTCCAAAGGCCGGCAATGCAGTTGCTGTGATCTGAGGGCCTTGACACCTACATTTCTGGGAAATCACAGAATGGAAGTAATCTACAACTCTATTGAGAGGATGAACCCTTAACTACAAAGATACAGGAAGGAAGTCCTCAATTGCTTACTCTTCATGACTGCAGTATTCAAATAAAAAAATCATTCAGACAAAACTTGGTAGAAAAGGTAATAGGTGAGCAAAGCAGCAATAATTCATACTTGCAGTTAACTGATTTAATGATGATTTCTTCTACAAAGGTTGTTCTTAGATTAAAACACACATACATATACACAAAACAAAAAAGAATCCCAGCAGCCTAGTGGAAGAAGTCCTCTGCACGATCTATCCAGCACGTTAACTAAGGCTGATTGAGTCCTGAGTGACAACACCTGATCTGTACGACATGTAAATAGAGCAATGAATAACCAAAAATCTCTAAGTTCAACCTCATCTCCTACCATTTTTAAAGAATAATTTAAAAGTTGAATTCTACCTTCACTGTTTCAACTATCTTACCCTGTAATTTGCTGAAGGTAGTGGTGAGCTGTCAAACAGCAAAAACAGAAAGTAAAGGTATCTAGATAATAAACCTCAACTGAAATTAGTCTTTGAGCAATTGAAATTTTACTTCATTAAGTTCTTTTTAAGAAAAAAATTCCTTAGAAGTCCACATTCTTTACACGCCTTTTCCGAGTCAAGGTAACAAAATCAGTATTACTTTCAGCTTAACAAGAATTATTGGTGGCGCCAATAGGAGAACAGCTGTTTGTTTTTTAAACTTAATTATCATAAACAGTCTTTTAAATTAATACAAAAGTTCTCACGACAAGCAAAAAGATGGCTAAACTCCATTTTAAACTCATGGTAACACCAAAACAACTTTAAGAATGTAAGACAAACTGAAGCTAACTATTGCAGAGGGAATTTAAAACGTCAGAACTGTTAAGAAATTTTTAAGAGAAATGCACTATTCTCACACAACTTGAAAAGGAAATGGGTGATTCATCAAAAGTCTAGATGAATCCAGAGACATGTTCATCCACTGATGTTCTACAGTGAACAGGGGCAGTTGCACAAGAAGTACACATAAAAGCTAAGTTTAAGAGTTGTAATTAAGAGTATTTTATATTTAAGCTTGGTAGAGGAAAAATTCAAATGAAATTTTTAAAGTAGAATCTCTTTTTGCCTTCTTTGGTATTTTAGCCATTAAACATTTATTTAGGAAAACTAGAGGCATCCAGTTCTAGAGTAATTGGGCATTTATATATGAAAAAAATCAGAAACCAATTAATAGATCTGTCATACACAAATACATATATACAAACATTTTATTTTAATAATACTCTTTATCACTTCAACTCAAATCATTCCATTATGAAAACGTCTTAATTGAAGAGAGAATATTTCTTCAAAACTCTAATTAAGCAGAGCTTTATCCATTAAATTTACAGCAATAGAGCCTTTAGAAATACATAATTCTCCATTTTACAATAATACTTCCCCTTTAAAAATTTGTCATGGTTTGTCACAGATTTAAAATACAAGGCACCTAATGCTAGGAAAGGATAATACAGTTTATGTAGTGTGAGTGAACCAGACGTTTCTCAAATATGTTTTCTCTTTAAAGTCCCACTAAATTTACATGGACACATTTGCATAAAATTAAGCATTTTTTTCTGTGTTGTTAATTTGCAATATTCTATGAAAACTCAAAAATATAATCCGTACCTATTATAGGCAGCTTACTTCATCACTTTATCTGTTAAGAAACACTGATCTATATACTTAAATGATTTCTTGAAAACATTTTCATAATATAGTCCAGCATTTAACAAATAATATGTGAAAATAAAGTCTCCAGAACATCAGAATTTTATTCCTTGATTAGTTCAAATTATTTCATCAGCTGAATTCCTTGAGATGTGTAAGGCAGGTTGGTCCTTTAGAGGAACTGTGGATTGGAAATTCCTATAACTGTAGTGATATGTACACAGCTACATAGCAAAGTACTTCATTATGAAATGAAGAAAACAGATCTGAGGAAAATATATTTTAGAGTTCCAAAGAACTGAAACTGTTATTTTTCAGACTAGGCACTGAAACATTTCCTACAAAAACTTGCCAGAGATTGTCTCTTCGCTGCATAATGTTCCATTATCAAGCTAAAAATAAAAAGAAACACAAAATCATCATTAGTTTCCAACTGTCATAGCCTTAATTTTCTGTAGTTTATATTGCAAAAAGCAAATTATCTTAACATTGAAATATATATCAAACACAGTTTATGTACTTAACAACTGGATAGTGGAACTGGAGGTGAGTACTAAAAACTCACAGAAGTTCCATACTAATGTCGAAGGCTGACAGGCAACACTGCTTTAAGACTGCATAGTAACAGTTTTATCCATGGCATACTCCATCATTACCTCATGGAGACAAAGACTCCTGCCACACCTGTCCTTTACACGTGATTGTAGTCCATCTTCACTATCTCCCCATTATCCAGCCCTAACTTCCAAAAATATTGAATCCTTGCCTGGGTAGGGGTGGGTATGAGGGTGAACATGGGAATAATGCACAGCATACTAGGGAGAATATACATAAATTATAGTACTAAAAAGCTTTAAAGAATAACTACATGTATTTTTTTTTAACTTGAAGATGGCAAGTAAACATATTTAGTTCCACTCTGTCCCCAAAAGCTCAGTAGAACGACAATAAAGGGATTTTTTTTTTTAAAGGAATAAATCACATGGACAAAGAGAAGAGCAGAGACAAGAAAACAACTGCCAACCAGATATTTCTAAAAGGAGGGGTGAAGAAACAACTAAAAACAGGAAAATTAGCATGGTTTACAGAAAAAGCAGTTAGACATTCAGATGCCCTGCATTACTTTTCACAGCTCGTCAAGTGCCTCTTCTCCATCCCAGGAGATGATATAAGGTGTATTCTCTAAAAGGGGTAAATAGAGGGTCTCTGGACTGGGGAAATGCCAGGCACAATCCAACATGACTCAGGTAAAAGTAACATTTATATAATCATAACAAGGTAAACACTGCTTATAGATCTATCCAGAAGTACACAATAACGATACAGGGATTAGGAGGTGCGAAGGCAGGCAAATGGAGTGGAGGCAGAGGAGGGGGAACCTTGAAAGTAATCTATTCTCATCTACCAAAGTGGGAAAATCGACCGATGATGCCTAAAGGGGGGGGGGCAGGGATCAAAACAACTGAGAGTTTAAAGTGCTTCCTCAGAGTAGGGCAAGAACTGAACAGGACAGGCAGTGCAGGGCAGGTGGCAGATGCTTTGTACAAAAAATTTGTAGAATTCTAACTCTCTGAACTATGTGCACGTATAACCATCATAACAATAAACACTAGAATAAAAAATGACAAAGGAACCCAGAACCAAGACAATTAGCCCTAGGTTAGAGGTGAATTTGCCATGAAGACAGTGGCACTTAAGGCTCAAAGACCAATTTGAGTGCAAGGAGTCAACAGGAGTTGTTCAATGTTCTAGGTGAGGAAGGGAAGCTCAGTTGCTATCAGGAAACATTTCAATATAAAAGGGACCTGAATCTCTCGAATTTCAGTAATTTACTGCGATCTCCCACTCTAAATGAATACATAACCACTTTTATACATGCCAAAAATATATGCTGGATATATTTCAAGCATTCATTCAGTGAAAGATAAAATATCATGTACTCATTTGTCATGTCATAAATATAAAAGATAATATTTCTTAAAATTTTTTAAGAATGAGGAAATGTTCTTGAAACATTAAGTGAAAAAGCATAGTCAAAGAATCAGGATATCCACTATGCTAGTTATGGAAAACACACACACATATATATAGAAAAAAGACTGGATATACACCAAAATAATACATTTTCTACTTTTATACTAGAGGAAAAATATTTTTCTAAAATGTATCATTACATAAAATGATGATTCTTAGCATGAATAAAAGTAATAGTTAAACTTGGCATCATTTCATTTGCCCGCAGTTTAAACTTACCAAGTATTTAATACTTCCAATAATCTTATGAGAGAAGGACTACTGTAACCCCATTTCACAAATAAGAAAACTGAGGCACAGACAGGTTCATGACCTTGCAAAAGATCACACAGCTAGTACAGGGAGAAGCTAGAATTGGAACCCAGGCAGTGTGACTCTAGAGCTTGTCCCTTACCCTCTAGACTATACCGTCCCTGAAAAAGCTATTTATGGAAAACCAATTTTGTATTTGATCATTACAGGAATAAAGAACCTTATTCAATACTAATGCTAGTTAATGTACAAACCTGGACTACAGACAACAGCTAACTAGCTCCATCCTCCTGAGAAACACCGTGCATAGGAATGAGACTCTCGCATTGTTCACTGTCTTCCGGAACCCTTAAAAAAAAAAAATTTAAGACAATAGTTAAGAAAAGCTTTAGAACTGAAAGGAGCCCGTGAAAATGATCTATTCCATTGTCTGAATCTCTGAGGTCAGAACTAAGATTAGGGCAAGATTTCCCAATAATTTGCTCCAAATTCTTTTTATAATAGGATATAAAAATAAAAATCTTTTCAAAAAGAAAGAAATTGAAAAAAATTGAGGCAGTGTTATATTTTATTATAAATTTTATTCACACCAGTGAAAGTTTTCTACATTTAAATTCATTACAGCAAAACAGTAAGCACTTTGGTTTTACCTGTAAATCAAAACATTTTTTTAAAGTAGTTGTGAAGAAACTATCTTACCACCCAAAGGATCTGAACAACTTATTTTACCTGGCATAGTACACATACAAATTATAATCTTTTATTAATTTCTTCACAAAATGTCTAAAAATTAGGCCAGCGTATGATTTCCAGTTTATTTAGCAAGGAATATATTTTTTAAAAGTTATATTGGAACCAAACCTACCTCTGAATTCGATGTTTTCTGCATATAAAGGCAAAAATTCTTCTGATTCCCACCATCACAGGATCCCAATTATTGTAATGGCATAAGAGAGTCACAATAAAAAATGAAAAAAATACAGGGATAGCGCCTGCAAAAAATAACCATGAAAACTGCACCTAAAAATAAAAGAAAAAAACAACCCACAATTATTATTAAGACAATTTTCTCCTTTAATGTAAGTTTTCCATTTATAAGAATCTGCAGGAATAAGTTAAAACACTGAGAATACTAAGCATTGACAGTATGTTATTGTCAAATATGAGGATTCAGAACTTCAACGTATGATTCCACTTGCTTAAATTACCAAAATACGTCTTGCTTAGAAAAGGGCCTAAAGGAAAGCCAGAAGGCATGCTTTTCATTTATTAGGTGTAGTATATCCGAGAGCAGAATTACAAACGTTAAGCTTTGTCTTCCACATCACAATGCCCATTTTTTCTTTACTGATTACTGTTGACTCTCAAGTAGATCCTCCCCTTCAGTTTCTAAAGTCACCTTCAAAAACTCATTTTTAAAAAATATGTTACAATATGCTGTGATATGCTGTGATATGTTACAGTTCCTTCTTGAAGACAGCACCAAAAACAGATAAACTCTTAAGTGTAATTTTTGCAAACCTTTTATTAACAATTTGCAAAAAGAATTCTAATCCTGACTCTTAAAACTAGTTTGTTTCTGTAGTAACAAATGAAAAATTTCAAAAGGAAATCATGGCTAAGTAAAATAAAGACAACAAACAGGACTACTTAAGAAATGTGAGCCAGAGAAGACAAGCAGCAAGCAGAACCCCAGCGGTGAGGAGCCCCTCAGATATCATCAAAATCCATCATTTTATCAGGGTTCTCAAGAAAATTAAAAATAATGAGATGCCATAAAGTGAAGAAAAAAATCATTCTTTCCTTTCATGACTTTACCTTTACCATCTAGGTTCAGCAAAGATCAAAAACAATTGTCAAAGAAGGCTGCACAGATTGAGACTTACTGCAACCCACTGGTGTGATCTGCTTTCAAATAATGATGAAAATAGTAACTCCTATGTTTAAAATAGGAAAGAAAAACTGTTTTTGCCCTCTTTAAGTGTTAAAAAAAGTGAGGTTTAGAATCACAGGCAAGACTCCCTCTGGTGGGTGCTACTCCATTTCACAGCACCATTAGTCAGAGTAAAGGGGTTTTATGAGAATATTTTTATGAGGGACTCACAATGCGTAACACAAGAATAATCACTGACAACTTGTAACATGCATGTCCTGCTTGTATGATACACACACAGGCTGTCAGTCTAAGACCCAGGAAAGAGCAGTCAGTAAGAGAAACTAAACACCCTTCACATTGTTATCAAATTACGGGTATGACATATTCTTGGAATATTTGCCAGAATATAGATATAATCAAGAAAAGCCACAACGCACTTAAATGACCCAAGATCAGAAAAAGTATGAAAACTATGACTAATGAAAGTTAAAAATGCAGATATAGTTGATAAGAGTGGCTTCATGAATATTCAACTAAAACCCTATTTTATAACTGAGTAAAAGCAAACTTTGTAAACGTAGGTAAAACCCTCCCTAGTTGACTGTTAAAGACAAAGTTCACCTGTAACAATGCAGTAATTTATGTTGCCACACAATAAAAAACGTCTAATTTGATTTCCAACAAGCTATGAAGACAATTTTTCGAAATGAAGACATTTATTAACAAAATATTATCTACATTACAAAAAATATCTAAAACCTGAATATATCTGAATATAAATCTGAATACAATCAGAGATGCTTCCTATTACACAAAATGTCAATTATATTAAATAGGTTAACATAATTTATTTTAGGCACGATAAAAGATATTGATAACTGCCGAAATTTCAGAAACTATATATAAATACAGTTAGCTATTAGAATCAAAAAACCCCATGAAAGTAGATTTCTTCTGTTTTTTTTTTTTTTTTTTCCTCCTGGTTTATTTGAAAGAGAGAGACAGAGACAGAGAGAGCACGAGCAGAGGGGAGGAGCAGAGAGAAAGGGAGCTGAGCACGGACGCCGACACCAGGCTGGATTCCAGGACCCCAGGATCATGACCTGAGCCAAAGGCAGCTGCTAAATTGACTGAGCCACCCAGGTGCCCCTCTCCTGTTTCTATTACAGCTCTGGGGCACACCCTGTCACTTTTCCCAGAAGGTATCTTCCTACCCTCAATTCCCACCCACCAAAGGCCCACACCCGACTCATTTAACTGGTTGTCTAATTCTAGATGTGAAGACAATCGGGAAAGGCCTAGTTATGTTTTTGTAATTATTCAATCAATCATTTACTTATTTTCATTTTCCCTTTTCTTGTGTTTTGCCCTATCTTAAAATATTTGATTAAACAAATTACATAATCATTTAATAAAATTAGATCCCCTGTGACAGTTCTTTTAAAAAAAAAAAATCCTAAAATTAACTTTCAATTTTTATTTTTCAAATCTGCAAAAGCTGATGTTTTCAAAATACAGTACAGAAAAATTCATTTACACAGCAGTCTACCAAAATCCTCTGACAACAATACTTTCCCAGTTTCACTAGAGCAAGTTTGATTGATATTCAAGATCCTGAGATGTGGGAGGACCTGAATATTATTCAAATCTGTAAAGAATCTAATGATGTATAACTTTAGTGTTTTGTACATTTTATAATATTCACATTCTTTGAAAATGTATGGTACATAAGAAAATTCTCAATTAAGGAGAAGCTCTCTGTTTTTAACCATGACAAATAAGTAAGAATTTACTGAGCCATGAAACAAAGTAAATACCAGCACACAACTGTTTTTTAAGTAAAGAGAATACATATCACTTAGAGTATTTTGCCTTTATCCTAAGAACTGCACAAAGATCTAAAGAAAAATCGCTTTAAAAATCTGATTATAACTTCTACATATTTTAAGCCTTTGGGCTTTCAAGTATTTCCTCTTCAAAATTTTATTAAACCAAACCACACACACACACACACACATACCATTTTGTTATTTAATACTTGGGAGTTCAGGGGAACCTGGGTGGGTCAGTCAGTTAAGCATCCGACTCTTGATTTTGGCTCAGATCATGATCTCAGGGTTGTGTCACTGAGCTCCGTGTTGAGATCAAACCCTGTGTCAGGCTCCAGCTGGGCATGGAGCCTGCTTAAGATTCTCTCTATCTCCCTCTGCCCCTCCCTGCTCGTACTATTTCTCTCTCTTAAAAAACAAAACAAAACAAAACCTCAAAAAAAAAGTCTGTAAACTTTGAACTGAGTGATAAATGACTGCATCTTTTAGTACTGTATATATGGGATGCCTCTTTTCTCTGTTAACCCCCAGAAGCACTAAAGAAACTCCTCCCTTCATGCTGTGGGGAGGGATTCTCTTTTCTGTGATGTTATCACTCCCAATGTTTATCATAAAAATCCCTGCATCCTTGGGGCACCTGGGTGGCTCAGTCGTTAAGCGTCTGCCTTCAGCTCAGGTCATGATCCCAGGGTCCTGGATCAAGCCCTGCATCGGGCTCCCTGCTGTGCGGGAAGTCTGCTTCTCCCTCTCCCACTCCCCCTGCTTGTGTTCCTTCTCGCGCTGTCTCTCTTTCTGTCAAATAAATAAATAAAATCTTAAAAAAAAAAAAAAATCCCTGCATCCAGACCAGGACATCATAGAAGAGGGACAGAGCACCTGCCCTCCTAAGTCCAGACAGAAACGAGCATTTGCTGAGAAACATTCCTATGTTGCTCATATCTATAACGGTATCACAGTATTAAGGAATCTTTGGAATTTATCCTAGAAATCAAAACACTACTACTTAAATAATAAAATATATCCCATCCCCTATTCTATACCACTGACTTACCAATGAAATATGGAATAATCAGCTCCAAAACTGGAGAACTACATATAAAGATACTGTCCTTAACTTAGAAATTAAGAAAAAAAAAAAAGAAAAAAATGTAAGAGATTATTTGTTTCTTTGGTACTTTTTATATATCTACATAGTAAAGCACCTTAGAGAGGCAGAGCAGGCATCAACTATTATTCATGGTTGTACTGCTTATAATTTAATCACATGCCCTAACTTTCATTATCTCCATTTTAAAAATTCATCTAAAATAGGGGTGGCCTGGGTGACTCAGTTGGTTAAGTGTCTGACTTTTGATTTCAGCTCAGGTCATGTCGTCAGTGTCATGAGATCAAGCCCCACATGGGGCTCCACTCTCAGCAGGGAGTCTGCTTGAGATCTTCTCTCTCTCCCTCTGCCCCTCCCCCCACTCATGCTCTCTTGCGCATGCTCTCTCAAAAAAAATTTATCTGAAATATCTAATAAACAGTTTGCCTTACCTTTTGCATACACATGTCAGCTATTATGGACAGAGGTATTGTAAGGCTTAGTGCAAGTGTGCCTATCAATGATGAGGTAAGAAAGCAGCCCCTAAAAAGGAAAAAAAGAAAATACACATTTCCATATTAAAAAAGTAAAGCAACCAAAGAAAATATAGGCATGAAAGATCAGGAGTAAAGACAAAAGCTTAGGACAGACTGAGACACAATAAAGCAACTAGGATGATTCTTAAAGTTTACCTTCAAATATTAAAAATCCAAATATATAAGAGTAAAACTGTCCAAGTACTTTGTGTATATATATATATACACACACACACACACACACACACACTCTTATGCTATTTTCAAGATATGCTTATAGATATTAATCAACTTCAGATGTACAGCTTCTATTTCATTAACATTTTTTATAAAACTGTCAAAAGAGTTCTTAAAGTTTTGTGATGATACTTAACTAACAAAGAAAATAGCTTTATTAAACTGCAGGACAATACTTCACAACATAGACTTTGAAGAAAGTGATAAGCCACCTTCGAGTCTGTCACCAAAGCAAAAATATCTCACCCTCATGAAAACTAAAAGAGTCTTCAGATCTGTGTTGCTCCTCTGGTTTGGCTTAGCACTGAAAAGAACTGAAAATGTTTTAAGGATACTCCTTGTTGCTTTCCTTTTTTCTAGCAATTGTCCTAACCAAAACCTAAGTTCTTCATTTTATTTTCACCTTGAACTATCAATGTTGGTATCAAATTTTGAAATATCATTCTGCACATAATTTTATGTAGTTGAAGGAAAAAAATGAAAGGAAGCATTATACCAAATAGATAAGCCATTTATACAGACTAATAATTTAAGTGTATAAAAAGAAAAAAGGGGTGCCTGGCTGGCTCAGTCAGTAGAGCATGACACTCTTGTTCTCAGGGTCATGAGTTTGAGCCCCACACTGCAGGCAGAGGAAGGAAGGAAAGAAAGAAGGAAGGAAGGGAGGGAGGGAGGGAGGAAGGGAGGGAGTGAGGGAGGGAGGAAGGAAAGAAGGAAGGAAGGAAAGAAATTATAAAGCCAAGATAAAACCAAAGTGTATATAATTAGGACTACAGACCCATGGAAATTCTAGACTAGTGAATTCTAGCTCGGTGTATGATAGAATTAATACTGTCCTGCAATAAAAGAGCCTATCTCTCGATAAAGTGTCACTCAACATATCCAACAGAGGCTGTACCATTAGTTCTTATCAGTGCAGTAAAGAGAACTCAAGCGCTAGTGGTTCCTATTACACGAGCTGCTCTGTGAAAAGACATTCAGGAGGTCAGTTTTTTTTTTTTTTAATGTGGCGTATGTTCTTAGAGATTTATAACACAAAGTACAATCATGAAGAGTCTGAAACAAAGTATTAAGAAGAAAACTGTTTGACTTACACCAGCTTTTCCCAATTTAGTTGATGGTTGAATCCTTTTGTCATCTATTATTTCAGGGACACATTTTAGGAAATGCTGAGACAGAGAACTAGGTGCTATCATTCAACATCTATACAAATGGTACAGTATATGGGTTTAATAGTGCACCTCAATTTTTTTTAAATAAACAATGAGTGACAACTACACATCTTTAATTTACAAAAAAAGCTCACAACCACACTTTGAAATCTGTAGCTTACTACTCAGCACTTGGATTATGTATGTTTCCTGTACTTTTTATAGTTAAACATACGATAGCCCTGACTCCCCCCCCCCCCCCGCAAAAAAAGGGAATCGTCCTACATGCAGATTATGGCTTCTGATTTAAATGTGTATTTTCTTATGATTTAAAAATATGTAAAATATATAGAGATATGCTTCTTACACTTGTTTTGTTGCCAAGAACACCCAGAATTTAAGGGATATGTTTGTTTCATTACTGACTGATTTACTGCTACTGAGCTGTCACCATTAGTACTCTTAATCACTTGAGTGTCAAAGTATATCTGAAAAATAAACCTTCTTGAGGTCCTGAAAAATCCATCCCAGGTAAGGATAAACATAGCTTTTATCATAATATAGGACTACGAGTGTCCAATTTAACTATTCTACAATACATACTCATATACACAGTTGGGAATATAAGTTGTGTTCCCTCCACGGGGAATGATACTGCAATTCTCTATCAAAATGTAAAGTCCTTATGATGGACTCTGTAGGCATTTAACCTACAGAACACTTACATATACATGCAAAGATATGTAGGAGGATATTCAATGTTATTTTATTTACAAAGCAAAGGACTGGAAACTTAAAATGTCTATCAATAAGGAATGGGTAAAACACATTATGTTCTACCCAGTATGTCACATAATGGATTGGAACATAATATACCAGAACACTAGGGCGCCTGGGTGGCTGTTGGTTAAGCGACTGCCTTCGGCTCAGGTCATGATCCTGGAGTCCCGGGATCGAGTCCTGCATCGGGCTCCCTGCTCGGCAGGGAGTCTGCTTCGTCCTCTGACCCTATCCCCTCTCATGTGTTCTGTCTCTCTCATTCTCTCTCTCCCAAATAAATAAATAAAATCTTTAAAAAAAAAAAAAAAATATATATATATATATATATATATACCAGAACACTACACAGGCTTTAAAAAATGAATTGAACCTAAGTGCTGATATGTAAAGATTTACAAAACAATCAGTGAAAAAAAGCAAGTACAAAACAATATCCATAGTATGTTCCCATTTGTGTGTTAAAAATAAGACAAATTGGGGATGGATTAGGAGACTGATACACACTTCTGCATGTATAGAAAATTTTGTAGAAGGTTTAGAAGTTAATAATGGTTGCCTCTGGGAAAAAGGAACGGAGATTTAAAGTGAAAGATAAGACTTCCTTTTCATTGTATACCCTTTTGTATACTTTTGTATATATTATTCTTTTCATTCTAAAAAAATTAAATTAAAAAAACTCCAAAACATGTTATTATTTATTTAAATGTAAAGTTTTCCAAGGGAGCAAACTAAAAAAGCTCACATAGAGAGATTACATGTCACAACTCCTACTTGATCATCCCCTAAAGCCTACATTAAATTTTGCTAAACATAATAAAACTCTCTACTGTATATGTTTAATTAAAACTGTAGCTCTCAATAAAGAATGAGCATTTTAATATTTGTAGTGACACAGTCCCGGTTTACTATGAGTCTTAATGTTATAAGCATCATACTAAACCCTTCTCTAGTCTAACATCCAAAGAAAAATTTAATAATTGCTTTCAAATATATTAATTTGCTTTGAAACTGTCTAATTTAAACTAAAGGTCCTAGAAAACATGAACCTGTATTAAAATACAGTGAGTACATAATTGTCGTAAAAAATGGCTGAGTATCAACAATCCCTCATGATTCAACAGAGTTCAATCAAAAAACTACCAGTAAGTAGTTCTATCTGTTCAGAACCAAGAGTAGAGAGAGGCAAGAGAAATAAGAGAAAATGAATACCAGAATTGATAGTAAAGAAGCAACAGGATGAGAGAGAGTATATGATATATATTAATAAGAAAATAAAATATGTAACTCTTTGCTTAAAAAAACCGAGCACCTAATATATAATGAAAGATGGAAGAATGAATGAGTAAATGGATTCTGATATCAAAGAGTTTTAGATCAGCAAAGGAATTTTTTTTTTAAAGATTTTATTTATTTACTTGAGAGAGAGAGAATGAGAGAGAGAGCACATGAGAGGGGGGAGGGGCAGAGGGAGAAGCAGACCCCCCGCCGAGCAGGGAGCCCGATGCGGGACTCGATCCCGGGACTCCAGGATCATGACCTGAGCCGAAGGCAGTCGCTTAACCAACTGAGCCACCCAGGCGCCCCGATCAGCAAAGGAATTTAAGTACATAAATTAACTACAAAATAAAGTATATCTTTAAGTACTACATGAAAGGGAGTAAGTGTGGAAGAATATCAAGAAAACAGAGAAATTTCCTTAATTGAGGAGGGGGAAAAGTACAGGTAGAGCATTAAGGAAGTCTTCATGGAAAAGGCTACTCAGTCTTTTGCAAGGGAAAACTAGTCAGTAGTCTTAATTGGCATATCATAAAATCCATTTAGGAGTTTAAGTACAATTTGCGGGGTTTTTTTTCGGTTCCTGTTAGATAAAAAGATGACTAAGTATCAAGCTCTGTATTTGAAAGATTTCTTAAATTCCGTACATGATATTGTCTTCAAACTATTTTAGGGTCATTATCACATATCCACATATTTGATATAACATTTCAAAGCACGTTAACATCTCAAATTAATCAGGGTTTAGGGTTACATATCTGGCTCACTAATATGAAAAGTCCTAAGAATAAATAAAACAAAAAAAAGTCTATGAACAACCAAACTTTCCAAAGTCTCTTAAGTTCCCTAGATTCTCACTCAGAACTCATGTTATTCCTATTTAGAATATAAACCTCCATTAGGTAATGACACCTTTCATTTATATAACATTCTACTTTTAAAACACTTCTACAATTTAAGATCATTTATATGCATCCATTCATTCAAATATTTATTCAACATATACTTATTGAGCTCCTTCTATGTGTAAGGTATTAGTCTATACAATCAGTGCACAGAAGTTAAAACACAAAGTTCCTGCTCTAGTGGAGTTACTTTATTAAAATAGTGTGAAGTGTGTGTGGGGGGGAGGGGCACAGAAGGAGTCATCAGAAGACAGAAGAAATATAAACACTTTAACTATCCAAAAGTCCATGAACTGGTATCTAATAAATCATAGGGTAATAAACAGTACATACCACAACCACAGGAACTCTGAGAGAACTGTTCCAATAAGGCCATTAATGATAATGCACATCAATACTACTTTATTGGGAAACTCAAAGTCCTCAAATCCAGTATAATGAAGTAAAAAGAAACCTGGCCATAAGAGCAGCAGATTAAACAGACCTACAAAACCTAAATATGTATAAAAGAGACAACAGTTAGTAATTGAGATTTAAATTTTTCAAACTTATAACTCTATAATTAGAAAACATTAGATTTTGCACAAAGGGTTCCAACAGGTTTCCTTAACTGGAACTTGGGTTTCTTTCAGTCAGACGTACAGAGAGCTCAACATAAAAAACTGTACTAGCAACTGGTGGTCACTGAGTCTTCACGGTTCCACTATTCACACTGCATGGAGCAACTACTATGGAATAAACCACTTAATTCAAAAAGAAAGGTCGTTAACCTTAGCTAGTAATAAGTTAGTGTCTTTAAACTTTAAGAAATAACTGGTATATCTGTGTGTATGGATATGCAGCCTAAATTAATTATGAGGAAGTAGAGAGTCTGCTCTCTGATTCAACTCATATTTAAGTTTAAAGCACCTGTGGTATTGCTGGGAATAATGGAGGAAGTTTCCAAACCAGATACATTCTTGGTTCTTGCCTTCCAAGCGCTCATAAGCTAACTGGTGAGATAACATACATACACAAATAGCTCCTCAACATAGGAACTGAGTGCAGACTGACTATCTGTAAAGGAAGGCTGTAACATTTAGTGGTCAAAAGTGTGTGCTCTGCAGTCTGACTGCCCTGAGTTCCAATCCCAGCTCCACCATTCACTAGTACTGTAAATCTTATACAAGATGCGAAACCTCTTCTAAGCCTCAGTTTTCCAATCCATAACTGTAAAATCATATTTAAATAGATTACTTGGAAAATAGATGAAACACTTATAAAATATAGCACAGTACCTGGCATAAAAAGTTAGTAAAGATAAGCTGCTATTATTATTAAGGAAATACAAGGTTACATATTACTAAGTGAATACAAAGACTACAAAGGAAAAATTTACAATTTTATAGTAATTTTTATTGCACTTCCTATACAGTTGAACATCACAGATCCATTAGGTAACTATAGAGCTTTCTTAAGAGAAAGTTAAATTACAGTAAATACATATTTTATATTTGTCGCTAAATAATAAACTAGAATTTAGGATGCCTAGTTAAATCTTAATAGGATTAGAGCATCCACTCCCTATCTGCTGCTGAAGACTTATAGCCAGCCACCCACCGTCTCTGAAGAACTGTCTTGGAGAGCAAACAAGCTTGCCTTTCCCATGAAGTTCCCACCCTCTACAGCCCACAACTAACCCATGAAGGATGCACAAGGCCACTCTCATGGCTGAAATCCTAATGGCTCAAGGCCAGAAGGTCTCTGAGGGGTACCTAGACATTACCTGCTCCTTCACCAGCCCCCTCCACCTCCTGCTCCTGACATGCCATGAACTGGGCCAAACCTCAATTATACATGAGCCCACATGGTTCTTTCCCCTTCTCTATCCTGCTTTTCTTACTCCCTTGTCAGTATTCCCTGCAGATTGCCCCTCAATAAATCACCCATAAGAAATCCCTGTCTCATATCCTGCTTCTGGGATACCCAATTTAAGACATCTAGTGATAAAAATAAAAACAAATAAAATGACACATACAAAAGGGACTCATGACCTGAAAAGCTTACACAACAATAAAAAGTTGTAATTAAAACACCAAAATTTAGGGGGGGCGCCTGGGTGGCTCAGTCGTTAAGCGTCTGCCTTCGGCTCAGGTCATGATCCCAGGGTCCTGGGATCGAGTCCCACATCGGGCTCCCTGCTCGGCGGGAAGCCTGCTTCTCCCTCTCCCACTCCCCTTGCTTGTGTTCCTGCTCTCGCTGTCTCTCTCTCTGTCAAATAAATAAAATCTTAAAAAAAAAACACCACCACCAAAATTTGGCATTACCAAAAACCAAATCTAGTTTGGGGTCCCTGGACTATATCAAGTCTATGGAATCCCACATAAATTAACAACCTTTGGACCTAAAGACAAAGGTCCCAATTGCTTCCACCTATTCTCCAGATCCTTCAGAATCTGGCCTGCATATCCTCCTGTTCTTCCTTAAAGTAAGCCTCCAGTCCGATCACGTAGATCTACACACTGTTCCCCGTTATGCTCTGCTCTATCCCCATGCCTAAAGAACCCTCCACAACCCAATCCTAACTTCTTTTCTAGTCCTGCCTATTGTAAAGCGCACATCAAATCAATACTGTCTTACATCATATATGACGAAGACCAATCAAGTTACATGTCTGTGTCTGTGTGTACTGTAGTAACAGTAAATTGAACAATTTTTCCTGAAAACTGCCAATCTTAAAAAAAAAAAAAACCTCAAAAAATATTAGCATTTCATTCCATTCCAAGTGGAATTTCCTATGACTCTAAAATAAGACATCACTAAAATTACCTTCATATTTAAGGTATATTAATTGAACTCCATACTTAAACTTGAGTGATCACTTGGTCTGGTAGCTTTCCAAATGTTTTGTTTCTGTTAATCTTTAAGTGAAGATATTCAAACTTTTTTTTAGTAGAAAAATCTTTTCTACAAATTATAATGCAAAAGCCCCACAAAACAGAGCTGTTCCAGCTGAAGCAGGCAAGGACTCCAAGAACCAGAACCACACATGCAACTCCACCTCTTCTCACCCCTCCCAGGATCCTCTGCAAATCAGTTTGAAAGCTACTCATCTAGTCCAATTTGCTCATTTTGCAGATGAGTGTGAAATCAATGAAATTAGAACAGCCATATTCCTGGTCTCCTGATTCCCTATTAGCTGCACTTTGAACTTTCATCACCATGCTTTTTTATCTATTGATACTCAGGTATCTTTTGGAAGACATCTACAGATATCCAACAGAGAGCACAAGTTGTTTACTGAGCTGATATCAGGCAAGGAAGAGCTTATAAATCGTATTAGGTATTTTATTTACCAAAATTAAGAACTGATGCCAGAAACTACAATTGGGTAATCTGAAAATCTATATAAGAGTCTATATCTTAAATGCAAATGGAAAGCCTTTAAATGGCCCATGAGTTTTAATGAACAGTATACAGACTAGAAAAGTATTATACATATCATTTGGGAGCAGTTTCTCCAATCCTATGCTTCTAACAATTCAAAAATAGCAAAACGTGTAATACAACAGGTATACTCTCAATGCTTATAATAGCATAATTCTATCATATCAATGAAGAAAATATCTGATTCACAGGCTAAAGACATGAATGCAAAAAAGGCACTAGGAGGAATTTCTTTCTTTACCTCACACTGAGGAAACCAGCATTCCTTCAGAGGTACACAATCATGCAGGGCAAGGTATGAGAAAAACAGAGACTGGACTTCATAATCTCTAAAATCTGACAGTTTTAAAGAATCATAAGGAGAAGGAGAGAAAGGCTTCCTTATTCCCTCCAAAAACAAAACCCTAAGTTAATCATTCAAAGAAAGTGGCCTCACAGGTAAATATATTCTTACCAAAGAACATTGGAATATCCAACTTATCTTCTCTGTCTACTTTTCTCTTAATCATAACAATATAGACAGCATAGAGCATGGCTCCAACAAGAGACCAGATGGAACCTGTAAAAATCAACATGCGTTAACTCATTTGTTCATTAACTCATTCAATACACACTTATTTAAAATCTATGTGTCAGATGTGACTTCAAGAAGTACACAAACATGAAAAGATAAAAGTAGATCCCACCCCTTCCCATGTCCTCCAGGAGTATAGGAAGAAACGAGTGAACAAACCCTTGCAAAAACATCCAATGATCTAGCCAAAAATGCATGTTATAATATTACAACTCATATAAGTAACACTTCGGCCTTTAATTTTGAAATGCTACTTCATATTTTCCCCTACATAAACAATTTGGCACCTGACACTGTCCGGCATAACAGTGTTTCTTTCCATCTCTAAGCCATTGCTTATAGGGTCCTCCCCACTGTGACCTATCATCTTTATTATATATTCCACTACCATCTCCAAGGCCCAGTTAAAGTTCCGCCTTCTGCCACAAAGCATCCTCTTCCTCCTCCACTGAATTTCCATCCTCCTTGTCTTCTATTTTAGACCACTTAATACTTACATGGTTAATTATAGTATTATTTATTCTCTAGTGGTTTCATTTTGTAAATCTCATATAATGATTAAAATCAAGAACTCCTTGAAAACTGCAAACACATTACTTTTTAATGTTCTAAAATATCTAACATAATACAGGGTTTGTAGTATAGGCATAATAAATACTGGTTCTCTTAATGTATTAACTCATTCTCAAAAACATTTCAGTAAGCCTTTAAAAACAGCTGAATTAATGTGCCGTCTGTCAAGTGACCACATTCAATATTTATTATCCAAAAGTCCAATGTTTTATTAAATCTATTTTAAAAAATTATTCTAAAACATTTTCAAAAAACAAAAAGAAAGCCTACCAATAAATTCTCACACATACACAACAAATACATGTTTTGTTTTACATATAACAAGCTGCTCTGGGTGAGAAAGAGGTGATATAGTTCAAGGCATGGCTCACTGGGCAGTGACAAGGGATGGTTTAGAAAGCACCTTTCCATTCAATGAACTTGAAATATCTAAACAAAGTATCCAGAGGGAAGCCATTAAGCTGGGTTCCCTGATTATCTTTGTTATTGTTTAATTTAAACAATGGATCAAAACTGTATGTTCACCATAACAATAAATGTTTCAGGTAAGAAACATGAGTGAATCACAAAATTAGTGGGTGCAAGTATAACAGAAACAGGGTATTTGTATAGTCTCAAAGTATCTCCCCACAAGATGCTTATTACTTACAAAGAAAAAAATTAGTAACTTTACACTGGAGCAACCTGGCAGACACCACCTGAAAATTAACTAGTCACTAGTAACGGGACAATACCACGTGCCTTCTGATATGATGTGTTGATCAGAACACTTCTAATATTACTTCCATGGCATTCTTACCAAAAATACACAACATAAATTTTACCATAAGGAAGTATCAAACAAACCAAAAGTGAGGAACATGCCACAAAACAACCGTATCCTTCAAAAGTGTTAAGGTTATAAAAGACCAACAACAACAACAAAAGACTGAGGGACAGCTCCAGATTAAAGGAAACTAAGGAGATGAAAACTAAAGGCAACAAGTGATGCTGCACCAGAAAAAGAACACGAGTGGGAAAAATTGTGAGATGTGAAAAGGATATACATACAGACTAGATAATTTAATCATAATCAATGTTGGGGTGCCTGGGTAGCTTAGTCGGTTAAATGGTGACTCGATTTCGGCTCAGGTCAGGATCTTAGGGTTGTGAAACTGAGCCCACAATCAGGCTCAGCACTGGGCATGGAGCCTGTCTAAGATTCTCTCCCTCCCTGTCCCTCTGTCCCTCCCCGGGCCCTATCTCTCTCCCTCTCTAAAAAAATATATGTATGTATCTATATTATAATCAGTGTTAATTCCTGACTTATAACCACACTGCAGTTATGTACATGGTTAGCAGAGAATCTGAGTGAAGGTTATATGAGAATTCCGTGAACTATTTTTGAAATTTTTTACATTATTTCCAGAGGAAAAGTTAAAAAAAGACCCCATTAGTGCCCGCCCTCTGTGTGTGCACACACATGCACACTCGCACACAAGGACACAAATAATGACATGCACAAAACTTTCTTGTATACTCTTAACAGAAAGAATGCAGAGACACATACTTACCTATTGTATCTCTTCCAGCAGATTTTTCAGACCCTGACAAGTTCACCAGCACAACACCTCCAATGCTATGGGAATAATAGGATTACTGATGAGCAAAACAATAAACTCCTTAAAAAGGGCTAATAATAAAGATAAAAATTATTTACAAGTGATCTAGACTACTCTCAAAACTGGGGAAAACTACAATTCCCAAAGAATTTAGTGATTTAATTAATATTTAACAGTATTAATGGGACAGTATAAGTGCTATACTTGTATTCATTTCTCACAAAACGTACAAATTACCTTATGAAAAGGTATTATTGCTACTACCATTGCCATTTTACACCTGAGAAAACTAATACACAAACATACAAAGTAACTTGACCAAAATCACATAGCTGGGACTGAAACTTTGCCAGTCTGCGTCTAGGTAAGTATTTTTACCTCCTATGCTACCTACGGCTTTTCAGTTAAGGAAGTAACCAACTTGTCAGCCCTCTTCCAAACTTTTTTTTTGAAGATACATATGGTATATCCATACACACCTAGCAAGAGCACTAACTCTTGCCTACCGATAAAACCTAAATTTAAGCAATAAAACTCTCCTTAAATGTTTAAATGATTAAATTAATTAATTAATGGATGAAAAAAGACTGAATTAAAGATATAGAGAAATCAGAGTATCATTCACTCAACTGTTATTTATTGAAAAAAAAATTTTAAGTTATTATTTATTGAGCTAAGCACTGTGTTACAGCTGCAAACAAAACAGATGTGGTTCCTGTTCTCAGGGAGCTTACGCTATTTCTATGCATCTTGTAATTGTACATATTTTTAAAGCAGATAAAATAGTGTTAATTTTTTTAGAAGCCAGTCTAATTCTTTCACCTATTGATCCAAAAAACTAAGTGACACAGGAGAAGAATATGAAAAAAAATTTTTTTACCTTATGGAATTATATCATAAGTCAAATCTAGTTCTTACATTAAGTATTCATGCCTCTCAATTAAATATTATTAATTTTCTGTTAAGCAATCATTATTTAAATTCAGCTATTATTTATTGAGCACCCACGACATGCCAGAAACTAGAGGTTTCAATTCCATTTAGATCATAATAATCACAATAACTAAATATATTGAGCACCTATTATGCACCAGACACTGTTCCAAGCACTTTTAAAATTTTAACACATTTAATCCTCACAAGAATCCTTTGAGACAAATCTTACTAGTATTCCCAACTTACAGGTGAGGAAACTGTGACACAGAGAGGCAAGAAATTTGCCCCAAATTGCAAAACTAGTAATGATGGAGGCAAGATTGAATTCCAGGTAGTTTAGATGGAGATTAGTAAGTACTCTCTTTGTCTCTTGAAGTGAGACTTTTTAACTTATAAGAAGATTTCCTTCAAGACTGTTGCTATGTCAAATTCTTTTTATACCTCAGAAACTGAATCTCATAGTATAAGGCTATTTCAAAACAAAGTATAAAACAATGTTCAAGATAGTATTAAGAACATGTAATAAATACACAAAAAAATTCTAAGTAATAATTTTTCTAGACCATAGGTCAAGCAAACTTCCTTAAAGGAACAAATAGTAAGTATTTTAGGCTTGCAGACCATATAGTCTCTGTTGCAACTGAACTGTCATTATGGTGCTTAAGTAGCCATAGATAATATACTAACAAGTGAGAGTGGCTATATTCCAATAAAACTTTAAAAAATTAGGAAGCTAGCTCATCTTAGTCCACTGACCCCTGTTCTAGATCTACTTTAATGAACTCTGTCAAAATATTTACAAGTTCAACATTTTATAACTATTTCCTTCTTTTTCAAAACTTTATTAGTATAGTACAAAGTTAAAAATTTGCATGAATTTTGAACAAAGTTGAATAAAACCTCACTTACTTCCCCAATACAAATATGTTTCCCTAATATAAAAATATGTTTGGCTAAAACAATTAGTCAATCATGCAATATAATAAACTTCTAGTGGTCATAAAATCTAAATAGTAACTTAGTTGGTCAACCGGACTACATCTGGAAACTACCATGGTTATATCTATAAAGGAAAAACACATCATAATAAGAGTACCTCAGTCCCCATGATAATCATTTTTAATATACATTCCCTCCAAACTTTAAAACAAGGCTGGAAAGTAGATACTATCATTATTTTCTCACCTAAAAACCCCTCTCAGAGAGTTTAAGTGAACTGACAGAAACAAAGAACAAAGCTCTGATTCAAACCCAGTTCTGACAGCTAAGAAACATTATTCTCTCCATTAAATCATTCCACTACCTTCTCTGATTTCTGATTTTTTCTCAGTAAAAACAACAGCTTTATCAAACCGACACAACTTTTTGGGGTATTGTTGGTAAGCAAAGCCCTAGGCTAGACTGTTGGTGGCACAAATAAGTATAAAACAAGGCCCTGGCGTTTAAAGGTTTATAATCCACAGAAAAGACATGACAAACATACACAAAGTTACATAAAAATAAAAGACTTAAATACAGTTATTGACCATACTGATGTTATACAGTAATGCAAAGTTGCCGAATGATTTATACAGAAAATAACTGAAAGATCACTTGAGGCTGAGCCAATCAGAGAAGACTGCATGTTTGACGTCCAGAAGTAGAAGTAAAACCCAAAACCAAAACAAAAAAGGGAACTTGTTTTAGGAAAAGGAAATAGGAACTTGGAGGTAATGAGGATTAAGTTGCCACATTAAGTTAAATGTAAGCATCAGTACAATACATAGTATTATACCGTCTGTCCTCCCATGAATGGGAGCCAAAGCTGCCTTGGGATCCTTCCAGTTACTCTCCCCAGGAACATTTAGAAAACTAGTTAAGGATGTGACACAGGCTGAGTAGCATGCTATCCATATAAAACCTTTTTTTATCCTCATCTTTCTCTACCTATACAGTATACTATAATATAAACTATCCTATATCACTACCAGAAAAATTTTAAACATCATATTTTTAAACAGAATTAACTAGCTATTATGCTATATTCTTACCTTAAAATTACAGCTAATAGTTTAGAAAGAGTAAATCTATCTCCACTGTTACTTGGAAACATTGCAGCAAGAATTAAGGTAAAAAGTCCTATAAGGAAAAAAGATACATCAGTTTAAAACAGCCTTTAAACTAAAACCATGCTTATTTTAACAATACAGATTAAGTATAGCCCCGTTTACTTTAAACTAATAAGACAGTGAAATTGAGCACTCAGAATAACATTATGACCTCATCATAATCAAGCATGTGTGCTCAAGTTGTTTCTATAGCTTCAAAAATATTTTTCCTCTCCCAGATTTGGAAGGCGATTCAATATTAAAATAAATTATCTTTCATAGGGTAAATTATGGTTCTGAAATAAGCAATTACATTTAGCCAAAGGGTCTAGAAAAAGATCTTCAGAAAGAATGTGAAATGAATGACTATAATACAAAGAACCAGCCTATAAAACCTTAATATGTTGTTATATAAAAATATACCATAAAATAATCAAAGGAATATAAATAGCACAACGCCACAGCATAAAACTACAAATATGATGTAGTTACAATACACTAACGTATATTAGAATGAATGTAATAATTTGTAATAAGATAAAAATGTATGCATATATGTGTGTATATATATACGTGTGTGTGTGTGTATATATATACATATATAAAAGAAAAATAGATTTCAATTTATAATGTAAATTTTGAAGACAAATTTCTTACCAGAAGTTGAGGACAAAATATTAACTATAGCAACTTGTGTGTCTGAAAGTGCTTCTTGATATGACAAATTTGCCAGAAACCACTAAAGAAAAAGAAAACAAAGTGAAACCTAATGAATGACCTGCTTAAATCTGTCATAATTTATAGGCCCCTCCTTTCCCCCCTAAATATTTTATCATAAGAGCTTTTAAAAGTTGCTTTCTATTGAAAAATCACAGACCTAAAAAGAGGGCATTTATAATTAGATCTAAGATCTTTGCTATTCAATTTCCCTTAAGAAATTAACAACGGTTGGTTAAAATTAGCATTCAGTTTTTTAAAAAATGAGAGTAAGACTGCACACCAAATCAACTTTAAAATGCTTTATCCAAACATTTCTAGCATTCTAGTTTATCTAAACCAAATTTAATTTGGGGGAAATTCTCAAATATTAAAATATGTACAGATGAACATAGCATGATGAGAAATCTATTGAACAAGATCATACCTGTGGGGATGGATCAAAATAACAAGCTCTAAAAGGACATAACTGTTTCGGAAATTTAAAAATGTCCAATGAAAAATGTGAATTTGCTGGCTAATTATGATTGTTTCTCTGATTCTCAGTTTGGAGACATAATACAGAGTTCTCATAACTGGATATAATTAAGGGAAGTTTTCCAATTATAAGGATTTTTTTTCTTTTCTTTTGCTCATCTAGGCTAGGACATTCTTATATTCTCAATACTGTGCCTAATACGATTTAATGAAAAAGAAATAACACCTCTTTTTGATGAAGCCTGGTGTGTGTATGTGTATGAGAGGGTTCCAAAATCCATATATTTTCACTGCTATCAGATATTCTAATACATATTACCACAACTCATCCATTTTTCTGTTGATGGATCCTTTTGGACTATTTCAAACAATGCTACTATGAACATTTTACTGCATGTCCCCTGGTGTATATGTGCATGAGTGTCACTAATATATACACTAAGAAGCAGACTGCTGGCTCAATCAAAGTAAATTAACTGCTTATCTAACTGTTTTTGGCATCACTGTTACTTAAACATATTCATATTCCACTGAAGAATAGGGACAGGGACTTAAGACAGGGACATCTCTTGATCTCTCTCAGAACTTGTAGTTAAGTGAGTACTATAATTAGCATTTACACTTCAACGAAGCAACAAAGACATATGATCTTAGAGCACTGCTAGAAGATAGCAGATAACTGAGTTTATTAGACTCCATTTAGTCTACACTGTACCCAAGATGAAAGCCAGAGTAAAACTAGGGCAAAGTGATTTTGACGCCATCTGTAGTCCTCCAACTTCCTAGATAATTTCACTGGACTTTCTAAACAAGAAAATGAGGTAGCAACTGCTAAGATGAGCAATATCAAACATATATGAAGTACTAGAAAAAAGAAGAATATTCTGCTCTTAATTATCTTTTGGAGATCTATCTACAAGACCAGACAATACTTATAGGGTGATAATTAGCTTTCTTGACCCATTTTCCTTACCACTTTAACACATAAATACTGTGCTCATTTTCCAAACAATCTCCACTGGTCTCTGCTAATGCACAATAAAGAAATAAAGACAGATCGTTCAGGTAGCAGCCATTCAAAAATCCTAAGAAATCATCATTAGCTAGAAACTCTTTCTAGAAAGACCTTCCTGTTCTACACCTCTCCCCATTCTCTGGTTCCCAAACCCAAAGCACTCTCATTACAAAAGAAGACCTATCTAAATTACCTTCCAATAAAAATTAACCTTACAATGTTTCCCTTCATTATTCCACAGTTGAGGACAACCACTTACTAATAAATGATCTATCACAAATAATTTATATATTTCATTATTTCATGAGTGGTAAGTTATTTTAAAATTATCATAAAAAATATTCTAGGTAAACACTATATGACCTAAATTATATTCTACAGGGAAAAATTAAAATACCGTAAGCGCTAATGAGACAAAAGATATTCAAGGAGGACTGGCAAATACAGGAATTATTAACTCCCTCTGCCCTGCACTGTACAATACACTAGCCACTAGCCACATGTAGCTACTGAAGAACTGAAATGTGACTAGTCTGAATTGAAATGTTTAGCAACTAAAATTGAAATAAAAACTGAAATTGAAATGAAATGGAAACTAAAACAGAAAATAAAATGCTTAGAATATTTGGTACTAAAAAATATAAACTACCTCATCAATAATTTTTATATTGATAACATATCAAAATATTTTACATATAGTGGGTTAAATAAAAACACAGTATTAAAATTAATTTCACTTGTTTCTCCTGATTTCTTTTAAAATTTTAAAAATGTAATTAATTTTTTTCTAATTGTAGAAAATTAAAAAATACATGTGACACCTGCATTTGAGGCTCATATTATATTTCTATTGAACAGTACTGTTCTAAACCTTATCAAAGCTTATCACTCTTGTTAGGTTTCCAAAAAGCTATATACCTGGACTATACTACTCTTTCTACAGAAATGCCTTTACTAAAGATTAACATAGTTTTCTACTCTTGTAACTTACTGAAGGTTTTTTTTTTTTTTTAAAGACTACTGAAGGTGGAAGCACCCAAGTGCAGACCAACGATGAATAGATAAACAAAATGTGGTATATCCGTACAGTGATATGGTACCTTTAAAAGCGAAGAAAGTTTCTGACACATGCTACAAGGGTGAACCTTGAAGACTTTATGCTGAGATAAGCCAGTCATAAAAGGAAAAACAGTGGGGTGACTGGGTGGCTCAGTCGGTTAAGCGTCTGCCTTCGGCTCAGGTCATGATCCCAGGGTCCTGGGATCCAGCCCCGCTTCGAGGCCCCTGCTCAGGAGAGAGCCTGCTTCTCCCTCTGCCTACTCTACCTGACACCGCCCCCGCCCCCCACTTGTGCATGCTCTCTCTGACAAATAAATAATATCTTAAAAAAAAAAGGAAAAACAGTATATGATTCCATTCACAAGAGGTACTTAAGAGTAGTCAAATTCATAGAGACAGAAAGTAGAATGGTGGTTGTCAGAGGCTGGGGGAGGTGAGAAAGGGGAGTTATTTAATGGATATAGAATTTCAGTTTTGCAGGATGAAAAATGTTCTGTTGATAGGTGGTTGCACAACAGTCTGAATGTACCTAATGCCACTTAACTATACACTTAAAAATGGTTAAAATGAAAAAAAAAAAAGGTTAAAATGGCAAATTTTACAGCATGTATATTTTACCACAATTTTTAAAAGGCTTTTTGTATGCACATATGTATCTGTAAATCAGCACGCTATATGGAATAGTACCTATGTAATGTATTTATGTAACACATTCTCTCAGAGTTGTGAGTTGGGAAAAAAGTTTGTTTTATCTAATGAAGGGAAATATTTCCTTTTAATAGGCAATAAGCTGTGTAATTCAGAAAGTTTTCCTTTTTGCCTTTCCTTTTACCAATTTGCCTGAAGATGAATTGTGTGCTCATTAGAAGTAGCTTTTTTCCTTTAAATCGGACTTCCTGATATAATCATCCCATGCCACAGCCAGCTTCTTTCCACCACACACACACACACACACACACACACTCCCCGTTTAATCTCTTATCTTTCCCCTTTGTTTTTAACTTTTACTATATAGATGCTTTTATTATTCTTCACCTCAAGTGTCATTTGAAAATTAAGTAACATATGATAAATCTTAGTCTTGCCTTACATTCATTTAAAACAAACAGAAAAAATAATTAACAGCATAATCCGAATGTATAAGCCTTTAAATTAATTTTAGTACATATGTAATTATCATAATTCACAATGATTTTTTGATTTGTACTGCTGAATATATTAATCAAGGTATCACTCAACTAGACGTTATTCAGGAAGAGGATGGAGAAAAATGGGCTCTGCAATGAGGCAAAACCGTGAAATAAAAAAATCTTATAATCAGGCTAATGATACTGACATTAGCACTGCACTACCTGGTGTTTAAAAAAGCTCTGTATAAATTTAAATCTTAAAGGCCCATACTAAACAACTTTGGATTAGGCTGCTCCCAATGACATATATGGGAAAGAGCCCCGAAATTCATTATCAAATTCTAAACTTCAGTTTTCACTAATTCAGACAAGTCTAATTCTAGCTTATTCCAAAATAATATTTGCTGTATAATATAATAGAAAAGCTATTAACAATAATACAAGAAATTCTGTAGAAATGTTTACTATGAGTACTTGCTCAAATATCTGACATTTACACAAATTTACTATACAACTACAAAACCACTTATCTGAAAAAATCAATGCATACAGTAAACTCTTATCTGGATATTTACTAGCCTTTGTATATATAATAGTGTAAAATAACTATTAATTATCCTCACCATGAAGCAATGCCAAATTCTGAATATATATATAAAAGTAGTTGTTGTGTTATAGTATTGACTGAATTCTTTGAGGTATGGTAAGTATTTATTGACTTTGATACTCAAAGTCCCCAGTGATGCCAGATAGCTGAGTTTTAAAGTCAATTAAGCAACCTAACAGTGTTATGTTTCAATAGCATACTGCTGGCATGTATATTGTCTTAAAATTCAAATTCTAAACATTTAATAAAGAGAAGACCTACCACGAAGCAAAAAAAAAAGCTAATTTTTGCTACTTGAGTTGCAGTAAGTTTCCCCACAGTTTTGAATAAGGATTCTTGTTCTTTCACAGTAGGATATGACATGCGAGACAACTTAGCTTCCAATGCATGGCTTGATGGAAGCTGCCGAATCTCCATGATATTACTGAACCTTACACGAGACTTTTTGGGAGCTTAAAATGAAAAGCATAATACAAAATCATTAACATGTCCCCTCACATCCAATGAAAGTCACAAGTTTTAATTTACTGATAAATGATAAATGCATATTCTTTAATCCACATATTATCAGACTTGGACAGCAAAGAAAACCAGAGTTATATTATTACCTAGGGCAGTTCTGCTCAAAGAGTTAACAGGAAAAATATTTTCACTATAAAAATGTTTTAAAGGTTTTAAAATGTTCAAACAAGGGTTCCGCAACTGTGTACATACACAACTGTCTAGGTCAGGATTATAGTATGGTTATTATTTTAGCATTTATGGTAAAACTTTTTTTATTTATGAGAATTATGTTCCTGGTCAAGCATGCAGAACATTCCTCTAGAGGTCCATTCTTTACAAGAGAATATTATGGATAAATACTGTGCTTACGCTGAAGCTGATATTCTTTACTCAATTCACAGAACCAACAAAACTCCTATAATTTGCTATTAGGAGTCTCAAATGGCATGGTTGAAGAGGATCTTGTTCATTTAAATATACATATATTATATATATGTATATGTATATATATGTATGACGAAGCTATACATATATACATACATATATGTGTGTATATATATATATATATGATGAAACCATAGAGATTTTTGATATTTGGAAAATTATTTCTGGTTTAAATAAAAACTTCCAGTCAAACATCTGGAAGATTAGAGGCCAAGCCAATACCGCATGGAAAAAAAGAAATGCCGGGTGATTCCAGTCAACCCACAAAATCACTAAGTTTGGGGATGGCTTAAAAGAAGCTAAAATCTCCTCCCATTTCTAAGTTATAAAATTCTAAGTCTTGCTTACTTTCTTCAGTATCAATGTTTGTGTTCTCAGGTTTTTCACTTGGAATATCATGAAATTTCACAGGAACATAAAGAGGTTCACTCTAGAATATAACAAAAACACAAACAAATATAAAAAGCAAGCATAATATCTGATAAACCGGTTGAAATTTAAGTTGATGGCATGTAGACATAAATACCACTCAAAACACAGCTGTTCACCACCATATTTCCCAAATTTTCCCAAAATATATTGGAACAGCACTGGTATATTATATTTAACATTTAGATGTCATAAAAACAGACCTCTTTCTCAAGCTAACAGATTATCTCCAATTCCTTTTCATTTATTCTTTTAACAAATACGTGCTGAGCTTCTACTATGTCAGAAACTGTTCTAGATCCTGGGGATATGAGACTGAAAAAACACAAAAGTCTCTGTCCTCAAGGATCACATAGTTTAAAGGGGAAGGCAGATAATGAAGAGATAATCAAGGTCTAATATGTATATGTATTTGCCAAATTATTTTCTCTTATTACTTAGGATTCAATTAAAGATTAAGATTCCTGAAAACCATTACAGGATTAATAGACAAGAAAAAAACGGCTACCACTTATCAGTTCTTATAATGACAGTCAAACATGTCTTTCTCATTAGTCCTTATAACAACCTCATAAAATGGTATTTAAAAAAACAGAGATAGAAAATAATCAAGTGGTAGACAACAGAATAGCCAGGTTTATCTAACCATGCTCTAAAGTCTGTATTTTTAAGTGGTTCTGAATTCCTCTACTGTTTTTATACATGTTCTTTAACTGATCTATATTTAAGGCACAATTCTCCAACTAAGCTGTTTCTTAAATTAACAGAAAATGTTTTCTATTCAATTGTCTTTTAGCTCTTGGTATAGAACTCTGCCAATGAAAACTATTCAGTAAATGAAGAGGCAACAGGATCTGAAAATAGACACAGTCTCTTTGTTACACTGAACTTTTCATTATAGCATTTGGCCTAGAACAATTTGACATACCCATCTTACTGATAATAGCAAAACTTAGTATTAGAGTAGGTAGAAGAATAGTCTGTCACCTCAACTCTGCCTTCTATCCTGATAAGAGACAAGTGGTATTAATTTTGCTGATTCTTAAGATCCCAGAGAAATGGAAGGACATTTTCTCTAAGCTTCATAAACTCTTTACAGCACCTGGTAACCTACCCTGCATGCAACTATAGTTCTAAAAGCCAGACAAGTAAAAAACTGTACTGGCAATAAGGCCACAAAGCTAATGCTTTATAAACTGATGCTAAACTTTATAGAGTAACTTTAAAATTTTTCTCAGATACAATGCCACATTTGGAACAATACATCTTAAAGAGATGCCTTACTGATGGTCTAAAAAAAAAAAGATTTCTACACACTTTCTTTCACACTAGACTCAAACTAGATTATAAATGCTTACAATAAGTGAATATGTTAATTACTTTACTTGCTCACTACTTATTATCTGTCTCTTTTGCCCTCCCCAAACACACACTCTCACACACTAGAACATAAGCTATATATTTCTAGAGCCTAAAACAAGTGCTTAACACTTAGGGATGCCTGGGTGGTGCAGTTGGTTGAGCATCCAACTCTTGCTTTAGGCTCAGGTCATGATCTCAGGGTCATGAGATGGAGCCCTGCATTGGGCTCTGTGCTCAGTGGGGGGTCTGCTGGAGATTCTCTCTCCCTCTCCCTCTGTTCCTTCTCCTCATGCCCTCTCTCTCTAAAATAAACAAATCTTTACAAAAAAAAAAGTGCTATTAAAAATTTGTTGAAAATATCTGTGGAACAAATGAACAATCTGCTTATATATTCTCAGTATTAAACAAATATATTTGCTTCTAAGTGATTAATAATAATGAACACAAAGTGATGAAGTTGGTAAGAAACAAAGGACAAAGGACTGTCCCTTAGGATTTTCACTCCTTAACCAATGTCCTCTTCCCCTCTCTCCTAGAAGGCTGAACTACTTACTTCTACGTCCCAAGAAATAAAGTACCATATTACAATTCTTATGGCGGGCACCCAATATTAGGATATATCTACATCCTAATATAGTGGTGTTATAGAGCTATTTCAGCCCTTCCTGTCATGGCTCAACTCCACCCATTCCACTCCTGATGAGAAAAAAAGCACTTACCAAAGAACTATTCATACTTGTGTCTGTTGTGCAAGCAGCAAAGTAACCTTCAGCATCTGCAAACTACAAATAGAACATAAAATTTGATTAAATGCATGTTATAAAGTAAGGCTGCTGTCAGCCACACTCAAAGGAATAGAATCTAAAAGCCAGAGTATTATAAGGGTATAATTACTACTAATCATAATAGCACTAAGGCCAAGTATTCAATTATGCAAGGTAGGTATTATCATCTTCATTTTACTGATGAAGAAACAGGCTGAGAGATTTCATCTAAGTAACAGAGACAGGATTAACACCAAAGTCAATCTAAATACAAAATTTATGACCTTTTCACAATACTATTTATTGTAACATTTCAGATTAGAAGGAAAAGGATGGGTGGGTTTGTGAAAAAGAGAAATAACATCTTAGTATTATCATGATCATAGTATTAACATCAAGAACCCCCTAAATGGATCAATGGACTGGACCGCACTTGGAGAACCCTATGCTAGTGCTGTACAACCATGTTTCTATTCACCTATGGCTACCCTACCCTACCCTATTTAAGAGGTTAAATAACTTGCTCAAGGTCACGCAATCAGTAAATGACAGAACAAAATTCAAACACCAGAGCCATGCTCTTAAAGAATTCCCCTAAGTCAATAAGGAGTCAATGTAGAAAAACGAACAAGATATAGACAACTCCAGAAAGAATCCTATTGTGCAACAAATACATTAAAAAACACCGAAAGCATGCAGATTAAACAAAATATCATTGTTCACCTATCAAACTCGTAAACGTTGTGACTGTGGTAAGGATTTGATCTCATGCACTGCTAACAGAGATAAGAATTACAGGTTTTAATTTAGCAATAGGAAGCAAAAGCCTGAAAAATGGCATTATTGTTTTATCCACCAATTATACTTTGGAGATTTATCCAAAGTAAATAACTATAGATGTGTATAAAGATATTCCTATTTACTTATACCAAAAGAAAAAGTGAAAACAATCTAACTGTCAAGGAACTGTTAAATAAAATAGAAAAGATAATAACAGATGTTTATTTATTAGCCTGGAGAGATATTCATGATATATTGTTAAGTAAAAAGTAAAATCAAGTTAGACAATGATATAGACTAAACCTCCTTCTACTCTAATTTTAAATATATGCACATAAGCACATAGCTACAGAGAGTATCAAGTATATATAGTGGTTGCAGAATGGTGAGATTACAGATAGACTATTCTTATTCTTTATTCTTCATGTTACCATAATTTGTCTTCAACAATGAACATGCATCACTACAATTTAAAAAAACTTAACATTAAAAAATGTTCTAGGATACTAAATTACACAGAAAGTTGTTCATGATACACCACTAAGAACAGAAAGCCAACTGTAAAACAGGACATAATGGTATAGTTTCACTTTTGTAAAAATATAAAATAAAAATATACACATGAAAAAGAATGGCAGGATATATGTCAAAATACTCTGGAGTTATTCCTTGAATGGTGGAATTTACTATTTTCTTCTTTTTGTTCCTCTGTATTTCCAAATGTTCAGTAATGTGCATGTAGATATATATACATATAACATACTCCTACATGTAATACTACAATGTATATACATTTCTATAATGTATATGTATTACTTTTACAAAGTAAAAAATGGAAGTGTTCATTAGAAAAGACAAGACGTATACTAGTCTAATGCACAAAAAAAGTACACATAAAAGAAAATAATTAATAGAGAAAGAAAGTATTTGGGAGGAGTGGGAAATGGGAGTTAGTTTGGGTACAGAGTTTCTGTTTGGGATAATGAAATAGTTCTGGAGATGGACGGTGGTGATGGTTGCATAGCAAAGTAAATGTAGTTAATGCCACTGAGCATTTAAAATGTTCACTATATGCCACTATACATTTAAAAATGATTAAAATTGTAAATTTTATGTCATATATACTTTACTACAAGAAAAAAGGCTAAAATGGTAAATCTGATGTTATGTATATTCTATCACAATTTTAAAAGAGGAGAAAAGGAGAAAGAGTGGAAAAGGAAAAGAATTAATATGAGGCCTGCCATTTCTGTCAACACTATCCATCAGCATGTTATGTTACATCAAGGAAAGAGTTTAATTTGGTTAGCCAAACATATGAAAGATGGCCTGAAATAAGCTGTTTTCATTTTAATAAATAAAACCTTGCTTTACTTTATTTCTAACAAGCAACTTTACAAGTATTTAGATGGTACTCATCCAGTATGCAAATGACCAAAGACTCCAGATATTCTTATTCCTCACATTCATCTTCATCTCCACATTAATGATTTGGGCTAGTTCAGTATTTTTAACAACCCAGATGATATTATGAGATAAGGGAAAGAGAGTGATTATGTACCTTTGATTTCTCACAAGATATTTTGATACCAAGTTGATTAAAAGAATAAATTTAAAATTTTGGACAAAAGTAGGTTTCTCTTATATCATGCTAACTTCACTCACTTAACTGAACAACTTAAAATCTGACTATCCTTCAAGAAACTAATAACTTTAAACTTTGAAAAAATAAATCCCCTCTTCAACAAACACTTAAAATTTAAAACTTACAAAAGCAGCATGCTTTCCTCGAAATCCTCTTGTACATTGTTGTCTCCATGGCTTCCAAATAATAAATCCCAAAAGGTATAGGACAAACATAGATGTTTTTGCAAAGGTGCTGAAGAATGGCTTGTTGTACTGAGTAAAAACATACTGTAAAGGAAAAATTTACATAAACTATGAAATGACTTTAAACCTTATTACTTATCTCCAAAAAAATAAGGCTATTACATGATTTTTAACTCTAAGAGGTTCATGTGGCAGGGAAGATCAGAAGAGATTACAAAAATATTTTATACTCATTTCTACAGAATATATTTGCTATATATTATACAAAGGATAATATTCCCAAACAAAGCAGCAACAACTTCCAAAAAAAGTTTTGTTCAACATTCATTAAAAACTTACTATGCAAGAGTACTTGTGCTAGGAGCTAAGGAAAAATAAGATAGCCTTTCCTTTCATATATATATGAAAAGTATACAGCATAATATGCTAAGTACCACAACAAGGGTATACAGGTACCGTGGGATTACCAAAGGGAAACAGACCATTTTGAGGATTGTGGAAGATTCTTAAGAGAAGCTATCCTTGAGCTGCATGTGTAGGGCTGAATAACAGCCAAGAGGAAACAGCATAAAAAAAGACAATGAAGCAGAAAGGCGTATGAATAAAATTGCATGAAGGTTAATGTTGCCAGGAAGTTATATAAAACCTATAATCTTCATTTAACTTAGAATTCATGATTTTTTTGGTTTCCTTAAAAAAAAAAAAGTCCTAGTTATGTACACTGAAAGGCCTAGAAAAAATGACAACCCAGGAGGAATGAGCACCTATAGAATCCAGAAGGTGATCTGTATCGTCTTGCAATTAAAGAAACCATGGGTTCTTAAAGAAATGATCAAATCCAAATAGGGGGCAAGAAAATTACCAGATGAAACTGAGGCATCTTGCACCAAAAAGCAAATAGGATGTTAAAGACTAATAGGGTCATATTGAAAGGATAGTAGAGCCAATTTGAAGAGGCTCCTACTGGTCAAAGATAGTACAGTTTAAGCACCAAAAGGAGTAACTACAATTGTCTGAAACATATGAAATACACAAAAATCCATGAATGTATGATGATACCCTACGGTTACTATTAGAAGTTGCTAAGCAACATTACTCTAAAACAAAGAATCAAGATTTATTCAACGCTTCCTATATGAACCATGTTTCAGGAAAACCAAACAGTAGTAGTGAAAACCTCTCCTTAAAGAATTCAACTAAGGGGTGCCTGGGTGGCTCAGTCGTTGGGCATCTGCCTTTGGCTCAGGTCATGATCCCAGGGTCCTGGGATTGAGCCCCACATCAGGCTCCCTGCTCCGTGGGAAGCCTGCTTCTCTCTCTCCCACTCCCTGATTGTGTTCCCTCTCTCGCTGTGTCTCTGTCAAATAAATACATAAAATCTTAAAAAAAAAAAAAGAATTCAGCTAATAAATGCACAAGGAATGACCCTTAGAAAAAATCATTTTACAACCCCTAATGAAATACTCTATCTGGGCAATAATCATATGGATATTTGACTATTACCTAAAGGTTGATGAGAAACTTTATAGTGCTGAAGTTGGCATCACCCAAAGTAAGACTTGCAGCCATTATGTGCCTCATGTGTTGTCACAGGAAGTACCCAGTACCACCAAGGTATTTTTTCCTAAGAACTGAACCCGAATCAAATCAGGACTTTACACCTAACTACCATTTTATAGGAAATAAGAGAAAAGGAGAAGCAAGTTAAATGACACCCCAAGGAAACAATCAGCCAAATTTAAAATGTGTGTTATGGGGTGAATATGTGTGTCCTCCCAAAATTAATATATTAAAATTCTAACTCCCAATGTGATGGTATTAGGAGGTGGGGCCTTTGGGAGGTGATTAGGTCAAGTATAGAGCCCTCATGAAAGGAATTAGTGCCTTATAAAGATACCACAGAGCGCTTTCCTGACCTCCTGGCCTTTTGAGGACACAGTGAGAAGACTGCCACCTAATAACCAGGAAGTGGCTCCTCAGCAGACGCCTAATGGGCCAGTGCCTTGATCTTGAGCTCTCCAGCCCTCAGAGCTGTGAGAAATAAATGTGTGTTGTCTGAGCCGCCCAGGCTAACGGCAGCCTTGTTGTGGCACCCCAAATGGACTAAGACAGTGTGATATATCCTATAGGAAAAATGATCCAGTTTTTCCAACAAATCATTAGCATGATTTAAAAAAAAAAAAAAAAGGTGGGGTTGGGGGAATACAGTTAAGGAATGAAAGCGACTTAAAAGAAATTTGAATATGGACCAGGTACCAGATGATCTTAAAAAATTACCATTAATTTTGTTAGACATATAATTTTGTTAATGGCATGGTGATTATATTTTTAAAAATTAGGATCTTTTCAGTTTGAGATGAGTATGAAAGAATTTACAGGTCAAATGACAAGTGGCTAGAACAGACTTGAAAATACTTCAAGAAACATGTCTAGGGAGGGGTTGATAAGAAAAGATTGGCAAAATTTAATAGTTGTTAGGTATATGAAGATCCATTATACCATTCTTTCTACTTTGTATATGTTAGAAAATTTCTGTAATAAGAAGATGGATTTTCTTGTTGAAATACACAATATATCTCAAAAGTTTAATGTGCATATTTGGCTGAAGAATCAGACATATTACATATGCTCTTGGATAACAAAATTATAAAATATCCTCTTACTAAGAGAGACAGATTGCTAAATTATAATTTGATCAGGTTTTCTTCTGTCCTAAATTTTATTACCTGACAAATAAAAACCAAACTATTTAAAACTAAAAGTTTTACAGATAAGCTTATTTCCCCTTCAACATTAAAGAGATCTCTGTGGTTAAACTACAGAATGTTCATCTAAAAAAAAAAAAAAAGGTTACAGAAGAGTGAAAAATAATAAATGGCCCGTTGTATTCCAGAGCCTGCTTCCAAAACGGCTAAAAATTTATTTACTCATTGGCTAAAACGTCAGTGTCAACTATTTACTTAACTATGATGTGAGATGACCAGCAGTGGCAAACTGCTTCTTCTGACATTTAAATTCATTTTATAAATACTTTTTCCTTTTGTATATTAGCCTTAAGACTACAACATGTAAGTTGAAAAGCAGTAATTTCTGAAATTAAAATTGCACATCTTTTTATAGAGATCATTAGCCAAACAGAATAAAATATCTACATATATAACTAGAAAGAAAAACTTTGTGCACTCAAAATAACACATTACTATCAAGAGGACACTGATAAAGGTAAAATAAAATTTTACTGAATGCAATCACCATATACCATATATTTCACAATGTTTGAATCAGGAAATGTATAAATGTGCATGCACCCACGCATATGCACAGTAGTGACCTGTACATGAAAGCTCTGATCACTTTCACTCATCTGTTCAAAAGTATTCTTACTTTCCACTAAATGGTGACGAATGGCTTTGCATCCTAGATACTTGTTCCACTAGAAAATATTATTTATAAACAAAGAAACTGAATTTAGAAAGAAAACAACATATACATAATCAAATATTAAGAAAACATGAATATGGTCTCATTTTTAAAACAACCCTCCCTAGGGGCGCCTGGGTGGCTCAGTCATTAAGCCTCTGCCTTTGGCTCAGGTCATGGTCCCAGGGTCCTGGGATAGAGCCCCACATCAAGCTCCCTGCTCAGCAGGAAGCCTGCTTTTCCCTCTCCCTCTCCCACTCCCCCTGCTTGTGTTCCCTCTCTTGCTGTGTCTCTCTCTGTCAAATAAATAAAAAAATCTTTAAAAAATAAAATAAATAAAATAACCCTCCCTAAAAGATAGAGTATCTTTTGTTTCAACTTGAATTGACATCAATTCACTTATCAAAGAAAATATAAATAATTCAACATTCAAAATACTGCTTTAAGTAAGCATGAGAGATAGAAATGATTATCAAGACACCACAGATTAATAGCAATATTACTATAATGCAATATCATTCCTAGACAAGAACTACCTACCGAAGTAAGTTCTGAGGATGCGACCCATATCACATCAACAAGTAGGAGAATAACAATCCCAAGAGCCATTCGCCTGCGCTGAGTGAAACCACTGCTCTGGGAATTCATCCGGTTCATGATAAATACACACACCATTTGCAATCTGTTTTTTAGAAAATACAGATCACATTAGAGAAGATTTTTGAAAAATAACCGTAGAAAATGAGAAAATTAGTATAAGAGAAACATCTGACATTTCTTAGCTGATGTTGTTTGAAAGTCACACAGTAAATTAAAGTGGGGTTTACCTTACTTTAAAGGCTTTTCTAAGATCTTCAAGAGCAATGCCTGAAAACTTGGCAGATCTGAGTCTAAAAGGAGGTGAAGAACTCAGCGCACCTAAAAACAGCCATAAAATGATGCTTATGAAAACATCAACCACTCAAAATAAGGTTCATCACATCTTTTTTTACCCTTAAAATTCAAAATGAACAAATGAAAGAAAAATACCAAAATGTGCTAAATATAACTGACATTTTTCTCTAGCCTCTTTATTCACTGTATATTTCAAATTACACTCAGAGAAGTAAAGGGTACAGAAAAAAAAAAAAAAGCAATCTTCAAAAAAAAGGCTATTGAAGAGTAGTCAGCTACTGGCAAAAAGCTCCTCCGAGTTTCGTAAATACAGAAACTCCATTCGCCTCTCCCTGCAGAGGAATCCACCCCAAGGGACAATGTCTAGACTCGCGCCTGTTTCTGTCTTCGATCTCTTGGAGGGGAGTTTGATTGTTTGAGAGGAAGTGATTTGTTGTGAGTCTTGGGGGCGCGTTTCCAATCGCCTCACGTGGTGGAGGGAGAAGATACTCCACGCTCCCCCACCCACCCTTGCCTGTCACTGCATCTAGTTTCTTTAGATCCAAAGAGTAATTCCCGAGACGAGTGAGGAAACAGCTGTTAAAGGAAATCCTCCTCTTCTTTCGAGGGGGGAAAAAAAAAGTTAAGCCGTGACACCTTCCCCAGGGAGTGAGAAAAAGCGCGGAGGCGGCGCTCGAGCAGCTCCCACTAGTGTCGGAGTCCAGAGCGGACTCACACGCCCCTGTCAGCCTTCCCCTCACACCGCCCCTTGGAGACCGATACCATTTCGGCCAGGAAGCTTTCACCGACTCCGACAGCTGGGGGTGGGGCCGTTCGTGGGCACTCGGGCCCGGCCGGGGCTCCCGGGAATTTCGGGGCCCTCCCCTGCCTGCCTACCTGGCCTTCCTGCCCCGCGATGGTGTCGTGGCGGCACCATGAGCGGCCTCGGCCCGGACCCGCCGCCGCCCAGCGCCACGGCCGCGGCCTCACAGAGCTGTCGCGGTGCCTGACATTGCGCTGGAGGGAGGGAGGCCCAGCCCCTGAAGCCGCCGTGTCCCTCGGGGCGAGGCTGCGGACGCCACCCGGCCCCACTCGGCCCGGGTGGGCGGGAAGCGGGCGAGCGGAACGGAGCGCGCAGGCAGCGATGGCCGCGGAGGCCCGGAGCTGGACTCCGGCCCCGCCCCCAGCCGGCCAGCCCGCCCGCCCCGCGGCCCCGCCCCCCAGCCCGACGGCGGCGGCGCTGGGGCCACGTCACGGCGGCGCGACGGCGGGCCGCGCGTGGGAGCGTCTCCAGGGTGACTCGGCGGCGTGGAGCGGTGTACTGTTGGGCGCGGGGCGCAGAGCTCCACGACGAGGCAGTGACGCTGGGAGGAGCGGAGATAGAAGTCAAACAGGGCGTGGCGGAAGAAGAGGGAAGCGAGAGTGGGAAGGTGGGGTGGAATGAAGGACGAGGGAGGTGGCCGGAGCTCCAGATGGCCCCGCCCTAGAAAGAAAGCTAGCTCCCATTTCCGACAAAGCTCGGCCACGAAACTCTCCATATCTCTTTCGCGAGGAGAGGACCGAAAAGCAAAGTGGCCTGGGAGAATTTTGCTCTCTGGAAACTTTTGTTTGTAAACCAGATCCCAGCTCTCGAAGTAAGCGGTGTCCCTTGGGGAAAGCTACCTCACCTCCTCGGCCCTCAGTTTCCTTAGACAGAAATGACAGCACCTGCCTCATCTGTCTATACTATACACTCGTATGTATATACACACATATATATGCCAGGATTACGTTAGTTTACAAATGTGAAGGGCTTAGATCAATTCATGGCACATAGTAAAAACTCCACAAATGTAAATAGTAAGCTGTATAGAATTTTCTTAACTCTTTTTTGAATATCCCATAAGAAAAAATGCTTGGCCAACGTCCTAACTTGTATTCAGAAGACAAATACAATACTAGACGGTTGTGTAATTTAACTGGAGTTATCCACCACCATCGCATTTTTAACATCTTCAGATGGCATAAAGCAATTTTCTTACTTTCATAGTGACAATGTAGTGCATTTCTTAATTCTCTTAAATCTCTTGTTTCACTAAATACATATTCAAATAATGAAACAATACAATGGACATTTTTTCGTATTGATACAATCAGTTTCTAATAGTCAGCAAAAGCACCTCTAATGAGTCATTCAGAAGCCTATCATTCAGAATTAGAAAAATCTTAAACCATGTACTTGAAATTATTACTCAGGGGAAATTTGGTTGCATACATTTACCAGCATCCTTTTTATTCTTATCTCTTTTTTTTAACATTCTTTAGAGTGTCAAGCTCATAGTGTGCTACATTTATGATATATAGACTGAAAGAATAATAGCAGTATAAATACCTCTCAAGATCTAAGGGTCGGGAAAACTATGTTCTAATTCTTAATCTGACCACAATTTGTTATGTAATCTTTTTTTTTTTTAAGATTTTATTTATTTATTTGACAGAGAGACACAGCGAGAGCAGGAACACAAGCAGGGGAGTGGGAGAAGGAAAAGCAGGCTTCCCGCCGAGCAGGAAGCCCGATGCAGGGCTCCATCCCAGAACCCCGGGATCACAACCTGAGCCAAAGGCAGACGCTTAACGACTGAGCCACCCAGGTGCCCCTTGTTATGTAATCTTGAGGATCATTCTCTCAATTTTGCCTGAGTTCTCCATCTATAAATATAGGGATACTGTTAGCTTTTTCTTAATTAAATAATGTAAATGATAGTACTTTATAAATGTATGTAAATGCAAGTTAGCATTATTACCACCTACTGCCAGAGCATCTGCTAAAGGACAAATACTGTGATAGTCTTGTGATAATGAAGATAAAGTAATTCTAGACCAGCTGTCTTCAAGTAGTCTCCAACCCTAGGTTAATCTTCCGTTACCATTTTTTCCCACTACCCTCAGAAGGAAATTCCACTGTACTGCTGTGTGACAACAGACTCTGGTGTGGTCTCTGTGCTGTGACACCATCCTGATCTCAGGCATTCCTTTCTTTGGACCCCAAGTACGTATCTTGCTCAAGGATAAATCCGGCAGTCAATATTTGTTGAATAAACTTGAACTTCCTGCTGTCTCTTGACCTTTGTACCTAATTCCTTTCCCAAGTCTCCATTTCTGTCAGTTGGTACCACCTTTATTCTAGTCTCACAGGCTTAAAATGTTGATCTTTTATTTTTATTAATTTCCTTTTCACTCTTCAAAGTTGATCACTCCTCACTGAGATCTCTCAATAGTAGACCCTTAAGATTCATCAGGTATTGGGGCGCCTGGGTGGCTCAGTCGTTAAGCGTCTACCTTAGGCTCAGGTCATGGTCCCAGGATCCTGGGATCGACCCCCGCATCAGGCTCTCCGCTCCGCGGGAAGCCTGCTTCTCCCTTTCCCACTCCCCCTGCTTGTGTTTCCTCTCTCACTGTGTGTGTCTCTCTCTCTGTCAAATAAGTAAATAAAATCTTTAAAAAAAAAAAAAAGATTCATCAGGTATTAAGTCTTGACACCTTCAAAAAAAAAAAATACCCGAAATATAGAGAATATGATTTCTCCTGTAAAGAACATATGTCACGATATGAATATGAAAGCAAAGTTGTCTGTGTACAGAGAGTCACTAGCTAACTCTCCTGTACACCAGCCTCAAAATTCAAGCTCTAGTAAAATTATAAATAATTGTGAATGTTTGGGGCCTCTAGTTAAGAATTGAAAGCATCTACAAGTAACAAAAATGGAAATAAATGAAGAATACCCAAAGCAAAGGATATTTATTCAGAGCTTGCTATAGTAAGTGGTCAGCCACCACACTTGAATTGGGCCAAGACCCAAAAGCAGTCAGGGAGTGTAAAGCTTTACAGTAGGAAAAGGCTTCGGGTATGCCTTGATAGCAGGTTTTAGAAAGCTAACTAGAAGCAGGACATCCTATGTGATTGTTTAGGAGTAAATGCCTTTCTCTAGTTGGCCCTAGGTTGGAAAGGGCAAAAACTAAGGAAGCTAGCAGTTACTGATCAAGTCCTGGCCATTTGGGGCAGTTGCCACAGAGATTGTGGTTTTGCCTTTCTGGACAAACTGCTGCAGAGGTTGTGAGTCAGAGTTCTATTTTTATATATGCTATGGTCATTGTCCCTTTGTATTTTCAGTCTCTCACAAAAGTCTACTATGTATCATCGTATTCTCTGCAGTACCTACCAGAATCCTGGTCACATAGCTCAATAAATATTTGATTTTATTTGCTTCCAAGGCATAGTTTAATGGATTGAGGTTTGCAGTTTTAAAATATTGTACATAAAAGACTGCTTTTGAGTGTGTCCCTTCCTGCATTTTATGGGGTAAATCATGTGCTATAAGGAAAGTCATAAACTTGGGAGGTTCTGAGATATCTCAGGTACAAGGGTTTATTGAACACAACCAAGTCTTAGATTTTAAAGCATTTCAAGGCAGATTAGAGGAGCAATATGTCAACAGAAATTTGAATAAAAGTTCTAAACATCCATAGAATAGGCATGCCAAGACAGTGCTTGATTGATGATCATTTATTGCCGTGTCCTTGAGGGCATGGACTAGAGCTCTGAAGGCATGATTGCTTCAAGCAGATCTAGATAGAGAAGGCTTTAGGAACAGGTGGAATCTGAACTTCATTTTAATCATGGGTAGGATTTTGATGAGGGGGTTGGGAAAGGAATGATATCTAAGAGAGTAAAAGAATGTGAGTGTAGGGGAGGAAAAATTCTTTTTCCTTTTACCCTCCTAGATTCTCCTGCTGGGACCCTGTAAAATTGGACTGACAAAAGACAGATTGACAAAAGAAAAACAGTTTATTAACATGTACAGCTCACATCATTCAGGAGAAACCTCAGTGAAGAGTTAACTCAAAGGGGTGGTTAGAACTTGGGCTAATATAGCATCTTAACAAAACAACAATAATTTGTGGAGAAAAAACAAGAGAAAAAGTTTTCAACTTTCAAAAGCACTAAACCATTGGAAGGTAAACATATGAGGAAAATTAATGGAATAAAGGTTTATGCAGGTCCATCTTCGCACTGGCCTAAAGATGTTCTTCATGGCCATGAAACCTCCCTGGGCAAGGGGATTTCTGGCAGTCCTCATTTTTCAGAAGTTTCAGCTTTTAGTCAGATAAAGGAAATCTCAGGAAGGCTTCTTTCTGCATCTATTAATTCTCATTTACTCAAAATAATCCTTATGCCAAAGTAGCATATTTTGGGGTGGCATATTCTGGCCCCCTACATGAGCAACTGGAAAAGGTGTGTCCAGAGGCAAGTTATAAAAGTGATTGGGCAGAGCACAGCATGTATGTAAAGAAGCAATGGGAAATGAGACAAATGAGGTGAGTTCTAGAGTTGCAGCATGCTCTGGAAACTAGGCCAGAGAGTTTGGACTTTTATTTTGTATATGATGGAACCTAAGAATTGCAAATAAGTGAGAAACACTTTTAGTAAATCAGAAATTACTGTCCAGGGTGCCTGGGTGGCTCAGTTGGTTAAGCAACTGCCTTCGGCTCAGGTCATGATCCCGGAGTCCGGGAATCAAGTCCCGCATCGGGCTCCCTGCTCGGCGGGGAGTCTGCTTCTCCCTCTAACCCTACCCCCTCTTGCGCTCTCTCTCTCACTCTCTCTCTTTCTCTCAAATAAATAAATAAAAAAAATCTTTAAAAAAAAAAAGAAATTACTGTCCATTAGACCTTTACCAGTGTGGCCGTACTATGGAGACACTGCATAAGACAAGGAGCCTGCCTTCAAGGAATTCACGTTATAGGCAGAACTGATTATGTAATTAGGGCAGGTATTTGCTAGACTGGAAGATACTGAATCTAAATGTACTTCTCTGTTACCATATTAGCACTGTGTACTGTGCTGGCCACCAAATTGATGCTTATTTTGAAAAGGGTCTTACTTGAATATTACTTCCTTTAATATCTTCCCATTGAAGGTATAATTGTCAAGGTACTAGACAAGACTAAAGGCCATCTAACTAATCCTGAGGAACTTAAAATGGCACTGTCCATGCCTACCCTGTGCCTTCAACTAGCTGACCAGGCCCTGGCCAGCTAAGTGACCCATGCCAACAGGCTAGAGCGAGGTAATGAGCTCACTGAGAGCCATATCCACTTCCCAACTTGATCTTGACCTCAGCTTCTAACTTGTTCTCTTATC